GAAAAAAAGGAAAATGAGCTGATTCCGGGAACCCAAGAGGCAAGCGAATTTTGGGAATAATGAGGGCAACAAATGTATAGATGTGTTTTATACAATTGATCTATGTATTGTGATGAATTGTATGAGCCCCAATAAATTGATTAAAAATAAATAAATTTTAAAAAAATTAGACGGAACTATGTAATATAAGTGAAGAATATTGCAAGTGAGGACACCAATCAAGAAGCAATATGGAAATACCTTAAATAATTGTTTTGATAAAAAAATAACTGTTTTGTTGCTTTTGTCATATGTTATTGAATATTTTTCATTAATATTTTAAAGCATAATCTAGTTCATGTACCTCTTATTTAAGTATTAATGGTATGAAACAATAAACTACCTTTAGGTATACCATTTTGTATATTGAAAAGGGTCATTCAATCAGAAAAAAAAAAAAAAAGAAAGAGTAGGGCTGCCATCTCCCCAGGGAAAAGGCTTGGACCTGATGTGGAGGGGAGGGGAAGGGGTCGAACTCTGGTCTCTGGTGCTCCCCGTGCTGGGACTTCAGGAAGGCTCACTGTCCCCCACCCCCGGGAGGGTGACAAAGAAGGTGAGCCCTCCATCGGCCGCCCCAGAGGTGGCCGGGACCGAACCAGCAGCCCAGACACCCGGGACCAAGTCACCACCATTTCCGACTTCTCCACATACTGCTCTGTGAATCAAATCGACACTGAGCAGCACTGAGGATTGGGAATGGCTTGGTTTGGGAGGGGCCTATGGGAGGGGCATCCCCATGAGTAAGTGCCCTGGCTGGTAGCAACCCCAGGGAAGCCACTGCTCATTTGTTCAGTCACTTTATTGTTTAATCGCGGTAAATATATCCGTAACAAAGTTTGTCATTTGAACGTTCTTCGCGTGTGCAGTTCAGCAGCATTAACTATGTTAGTGACGCTCTCCAACCTGCTGCTGATAGCTATTTCCAAAATTTCTCTTCACCCTGAACAGAAGGGCAGTAAAAAGTAAATGCCAGGTGCTCTATGCCTTTGCCGACACTTGGTTTTGTCAGTTAAAAAAAAAATTTTTTTTGGTCCCATTCGGGTGGGCGTGCCGTGAGTTGTCACACCAGAAAGCCCTGTGCACTTGTTTTTGCTGAGGCAATTTTCAAGCCATGAACTCTGAAACATCACACCAACCTTTGTGGGTAGGTTTGCTTTTCCTTATGATGTATTTATTATGATTATTTTTCAATAGATGAGGCCAAGACAGGGGAAAGCCCCTTCCACCAAGTCACAAAAAGAATTAGTGCTTCCTGTTCAGTGCTAGGAGGAACTCTGGTGGTGTAGTGGTTACCTGTTGGACTGCTAACCTCAAGGTCGGCGGTTCAAGCCCACCAGCCACTGTAGGGGAAAGACCGACTGGGCTTTCTACTCCAGTAAAGAATTATGGTCTTGGAAACCCACAAGGGCAGTTCTGCTCTGCCCTGTGGGGGTGGCTGTGCATCAGAATGGACTCAAAAATAGTGGGTTTGATTTATTTGTTTCTTGGGTTCAGTAGAACCCAGAGATACATCAGGACAGAACCTTGCTTTTCTTGTTTAAAGTTCCAGTATCTTTATTCCCCTCCCCCCAATTCACACCCCAAAGGAAAGCAATGAACAATGACAACAACAAATCCTTCTTCTGCTCTGCACAGGCACCTCTGAATTTAATCTCCTAACTCTGCACCTAACACCCAAAAGCACCCCTAGATTTCGACTTGAGACGTAGCCCCTAGTACTACTATGGGACCCATTCTCTTCCTCATGTCTCTCCTTCCAGGCCCTCCCAGTTTCCGGTCTAAAGACCCAGTCATATTGGAGAGCCTTGCCTTCACCCTCAAGGCCAGTCAGATCACGGACTTCTCTCTGCTCCCTTGGGCAGTGTTTTCCGGATAATAATAAATAACTATTTTCTGAACCCTACTTTCTTTTTTTTTTTTTTAACATTTTATTAGGGGCTCATACAACTGTTACCGCAATCCATACACACATCAATTGTGTAAAGCGCATTTGTACATTCATTGCCCTCATCATTCTCAAAACATTTTCTCTCCACTTACACCCCCTGGCATTAGGTCCTCATTTTGCCCCTCCCTCCCCGCTCCCCCCTCCCTCATGAGCCCTTGATAGTTTATAAATTGGTATTTTGTCATATCTTGCCCTGTCCGACGGCTCCCTTCACCCACTTTTCTGTTGTCTGTCCCCCAGGGAGGAGTTCACATATAGTTCCTTGTAATCGGTTCCCTCTTTCCTACCCACTCTCCCTTTACCCTCCCTGTTTCGCCACTCACACCACTGGTCCTGTAGGGCTCACCCGCCCTGGATTCCCTGTATTTTCAATTCCTATCTGTACCAGTGTATATCCTCTGGTCTAGCCAGACTTGCAAGGTTGAATTCGAGTCATGGTAGTGGGAGCGGGGAGGAAACATTTAGGAACTAGA